TTAGCTACAATCTTTTATAACATTATAAAAAAGTTTGAAATATTATTAGAAATGCCAAAAAGTGACACAGACACAGATGGAAACATATGTTGGGGGAAAAGTGTCAATAGACTTGCTCAATGCAGTAGTAAAACATACAATACGAGCTATTAAGCCCCTAAAATGAAACACGACAAAGCAAGGTATACCTGCACATTGTTATGACAGCCCTAAGAAAATCTACAGACTCAATTTAGGTTAATTAATCACATAAAGAAAAACTCTGTTTAGAAGACAAGCACAATTTATTTGTGCATTGCATGTCATGTCACAAGCTGAACCACAGAAGCTGCCTGTCAGTACACTACCCTCAGCAGTTTTCCTGACCTGCCAGCTAGAACCTGCTTTGTTATGATGACCCTAAGAAACTCATCTATGAGTTTGGCATACTGAAGTAGCTTGCATATTGCTATGATTCTGGAGACTATGCTATCGGCATTTTAAGTACCAGCAGGATCACCTATGGTGAACAGGTTTCAGATGAGCTTCCAGACAAAGATGGACTAGGATAAAGGAGAGATGCACTTCTTCTGAATATTTAGTCACTGAAAACTTTTTCAATAGCAGTAGAGCACTGTCAGCACCAGAATAGTGAATACTGAAACATGATGAATAGCACCAGAATATTGTCAGATATAGTGCCTGAAAATGAGCCCCTCAAGTTGGAAGGTACTCAAAAATACCACTGAAGAATAGCTGTCTCCTCAAAATAAAATTGGCCTTGATGACGTCAATGAAATACAGTTTTCATTTACAACTCGAGATGAAGAGAAAGCAGCTGTAAAGATCCACTAATAATCAGAACATAGAATGTATGAAGTATGAATCTAAGAAAATTGAAAACTATCAAAAATGAAATTAAATGCATAAACATTGAAATCCTAGGCATTAGTGAGCTGAAATTGATTTTTTTTTACTATTCTGAGTATGATAAATGGAAGAGGAATGGGTGCCACATTCATCATCAAAAAGAACATATCAAGGTCTGTCTTGAAGTACAACATTGTATGTGATAGGATAATATCTATATGTCTACAACGGAGACCAGTTAATATCACTATTACTCAAATTTATACACCAACCACTAAAGCCAATGATGATGAAATTGAAGAATTCTACCAACTGCTTCAGCCTGAAATTGATCAAGAATGCAATCAAGATGTATTATTAATTACTGGCAATTAGAATGTAAAGTCTGGAAACAAGGAGGAAGGATCAGTCCTTGGGAATTAATGTCTAAGTGATAGAAACAATGCTGGAGATTGCATGACAAAATCCTGCAATACCAATGACTTCTTCATTGCAAATACCTTTTTGAAACAATATAAAAGACAGCTATACACATGGATCTTACCTGATGGAATACACAGAAATCAAATTAACTACATCTCTGTAAAGGGACGGTTCCATCTTATCAGTCAAAAGAAGGCAAGGACAAACTGTTGAACATACCATCTATTGCTCATATGCAAGATCAGAATGAAGCTGAAGAAAACTAAAACAAGTCCACAAGAGCCAAAATATTACCTTGAACATATCCCACCTGATTTTACAGATCATCTCCAGAATAGATTTGATGTATTAGACACTAATGAGCCAAAAACAAAAGAATTGTGGAATGCCATTAAGAACAACATGCTGAAAGAAAGCAAAAGGTCATTAAGAAGACAAGAAGAAGGAAAACACAAAAATGGATGACAGAAGAGACTCTGAAATTTGCTCTCCAGTGTAGAAATGCTAAAGTAAATGAAAGAAATGGGGAGGTAAAAGAGTTGAATAGAAATTTTCAAAGAGTATCTTGAAAAGACAGTCAAACATTATAATGAAATGTGCAAAGATCTAGAGTTAGAAAACAAAAAGGAAAGAACATACTTAGCATTTCTCAAGCTGAGGAAAATAAAATAAAAATTCAAGTCTTGACTTGCACTTTTGAAAGATTCTATGGGCAAAGTTGAAATTGACTCGACAGCACTTAATAACAACGACAACAACAATGGGCAAAACATTGAATGATGCAGAAAGAATCTAAAGAAGATAGAAGAAATACAAAGTCACTATACCAAAAAGAAATGGTTGATGTTCAACCATTTTGAGAGGTAGCATAGGCATTGGCAAAGAACAAGTCTCTGCAAATTGATGGAATACAAATTGAAACCTTTCAACAAACTGGAAGCACTCACTCATCTGTGCCAAGAAATTTGGAAGAAGAGGACTTGGCCAACTGATTGGAAGAAATTTATATTTGTGCCCATTCCAAAGAGAGGTGAGCCAAGGGAATGTGGAAATCATTGGGCAATATCACTAGTATTGCATGCAAAGAAAATTTTGCAATAGATAATTCAAAAATGGCTGTAGCAGTACCTTAACAAAGGTTCAGAGAGCTGGCAGAAGTTGAGACCAGATTCATAACAGGTTATGAAATATCATCACTGACATCAGATGGATCTTGGCTGAAAAGTGAGAATATCAGAGAGATGTTTTCCTGTGCTTTACTGACTATGCAAAGGCTTTCAATTGTGTGGATCATGGCAACGCATGGGCAACATTGCAAAGAATGAGCATTCTGGAACACTTGATTGTGCTCAAGAGACCAAGAGGCAGTTGTTTGAACAGAACGAGGGAACACTGAATGGTTTTAAATTAGGAAAGGTGTGCACCAGAGTTGTATTCTTTCACAATACTTACTCAGTCTTTATGCTGAGCAAATAATTTGAGAATCTGAATAATACGAACAAGAACATGGCATCAAGATTGGAGAAAACCTCATTAACAACCTGCAATATGCAGATACTACCACTTTGCTTGAGAAAGCAAAGAGGACTTAAAATACTTACTGATGAAGATCAAAGACCACAGCCCTCATAATGGGTTGCAACTCAATGTAAAGAAAACACACATCCTCACCACTGGACCAACAGATAACATCAAGATACATGGAGAAAAGATTGAAGTTGTCAAAGACTTCATTTTGCTCAGATCATCAACATTCAAACTAAAGGATATATTGCATTAGGCAAATAAAGAGATCTGCTGGACAAGACCTCTCTGAATTGTTCAAGACCAAAGATGTCAGTTTGAGGATTAATATGAGCCTGACCAAAGGCATGGTATTTTCAGTAACTTCATATGAATGTGAAAGTTGGACAATAAATAAAGAAAACCTTAGAAGAATTGATACGTTTGAGTTATGGTGTTGGAGGAGAATATTAAAAGTACCACAGACCACCAAAGAACAAATAAATTTGTGTTAGAAGAAGTACAGCCAGAATGCTCCTTAGAAGCCAGAATTGACAGACTCTGTTTCTCATACATCAGACATAATATCAGTCCCTAGAGACCTATGGTCCAGTCCCTAGAGAAGGACCTAATGTTTGGTAAAGTGTAGGTCAGCAAAAAACACCCCCAACAAGATGGTTTGGCACCATCACAACAACAATGGGCTAAGTGTAACAATGAACATGAGATTGGCACAGGACTGGGCAGTGTTTTGCTGTGTTGTGCATAATGTCGTTATGAGTCAGTACTGACTCGACAGCACCTAACAGTAACAGGAAAAGCTCATAAAAATTATGGACTATTTCCCAAGAAAAATGCACACACACAGAGCACACAAATTTGGAATATTCTTTTCTTCAGCATCATAATCATCTGGAAACCTGGAAAAACATGTTGCCCTGGAGGACCCTCCATTCTTCATAGAGACATCTGAGGGCAGTGGGCTTCTGAGTACTCATGGGCATTCTGCTGCAACTTAGAGAACACTCTTTTATTATTATTCTAAAATGACAAGAAACTGAACAGGAAAAACGACAACTTGTGCTTGGAGACATCCTGGGCCTCTTCAGTCAGTAAGTGGGTCCATCAGTTTCAAGATAGTGGTTATATTTTGTTCTTATAGGACTAGCTACCACACATGGAAGCTGCTTGATGATCTTTTTTGGCTGAACTGGGTTATCTACTGCCCTATTGACAGAATGAAGGGACATTCCATTGGTCATGGCTCTAATGTAGGGAAATGAGGTTCCCAATCCAAGGGCTAGATGGGAAAATACAGTGCTGGGTCTGGATGAGGGTAGCAGCATCTTGAATGATGTTCCAGTTTTTCAGGACATTGTCCCTGGTGGTAAACTGGGATATTACAGTGAACTGGATGATTAGTTTGATGAACTGGATGTTACAGTGAACTGGATGGTGGCCGGGATGAGGAGGAGACGGCCAGATCTAGCACTTTCCTTCAGCACACTTTCTGTGAGACAGTTAGGACCCTGTTTGAAGAATTAAGAGAATGACCCTGTGTCACTGTCCTGGAAGCGCCCCCGGGAGCCCAGCACTGACATTTTCAAGAAACTCAGCAACACAGTCATCAACTCTGTGAAAGCGAAGAACATTGTTCACAGGAGGGTATGGAAGCTGACATTACCTTTAGACAAACAATCACCAGGCCAACAGCAGTGTGGCAAGACCTTGGAACTCTTGGGCCCAGAGTCAGTGACATAGCCACAGAGGACTAGAATGAAGTGTCCAGCTGATAAGAAGAGAGGGCATATGCACAAGAACACCCACACTTGCAAATAATACCCACTTGACCTGGCTTCAATGACTGGATGATCAGAGCTCAACTAGAAGAAGAAAGAAGAGGGGAAAAAAGAGTAATATAATACAATTTGGTAAATTTGACCTACACCTATGGATACAGTAGCTCAAAAGAGGGAACAAATGTTTACAGTGAGGATCATTCCCACCCCCTCCATACACAGAGTAGACAGGGATGGGCAACTTGGACATTAGCTACTAACCAAATTGGGGGCCTACAAAGGAAAGAAGTGACTGGCTTACAAGCTTTCAAGAAGGAACCTAGTGCTCGCTTCGGCAGCACATATACTAAAATTGGAACGATACAGAGAAGATTAGCATGGCCCCTGCGCAAGGATGACACACAAATTCGTGAAGCGTTCCATATTTTTGTGATTGTCCAAGGCTTGAAACATCTCTTCCAGCATCAGCGCAGGAGGTCATCAGTGTCTCCACACGATGTGCAGCAAATTCAGGCAGATGCAGAACCTGAAATGGAACTGGAGAGCCAGAATGCATGTGCTGAGATTGATGGTGTCCCCACCCACCCCACAGCTCTGAATTGAGTCCTGCAGCAGATCCGAGTGCCGCCCAAGATGAAGAGAGGGACAAGCTTACATAGTAGGCGGGGCAAGCCAGAGGCCCCAAAGGGAAGTCCCCAGATCAACAGGAAGTCTGGCCAGGAGATGGCAACTGTTATGCAGGCAGGCCAGCCCAGGTCTTATCCACAACGGATGCTCCGACCAGCTCAGCGCTGATGGAAATAGCTTGTGCTGCTGCTGCGTATGTACCAGGAGAGGAGACGACCGCAGAGCGGATTGAGCGGCTGGAAGTAAGCAACCTTGCCCAGACTTCTAGTGCAGTGGCCTCTAGCACCGATGGTAGCATCCACACAGACTCCGTGGATGGAACACCAGACCCTCAGCGCACAAAGGCTGCTATTGCTCATTTGCAGCAGAAGATCTTTAAGCTCACAGAACAGATCAAGATTGCCCAAACAGCCCGGGATGACAATGTTGCTGAGTATTTGAAACTTGCCAACAGCGCAGACAAACAGCAGGCTGCCCGCATCAAGCAGGTCTTTGAGAAGAAGAATCAAAAATCTGCCCAAACCATCCTCCAGCTACAAAAGAAACTCGAGCATTACCATCGGAAGCTCCGGGAGGTAGAGCAGAATGGGATTCCCCGGCAGCCAAAGGATGTCTTCAGGGACATGCACCAGGGTCTGAAAGATGTGGGAGCCAAAGTGACTGGCTTCAGTGAGGGTGTAGTGGACAGTGTCAAAGGTGGACTTTCCAGCTTCTCCCAAACCACCCATTCAGCAGCAGGAGCTGTGGTCTCAAAACCCAGAGAGATTGCCTCACTGATTCGAAACAAATTTGGTAGTGCAGACAACATCTCTAACTTGAAGGACTCTTTAGAGGAAGGGCAAGTCGAAGACGGGGGGAAGACTTTGGGAGTGATTTCGAACTTTCAGTCGAGCCCAAAATACGGTAGTGAGGAAGATTGTTCTAGTGCCACTTCAGGCTCAGTGGGAGCCAACAGCACCACTGGGGGCATCGCTGTAGGAGCATCCCGCTCCAAAACAAACACCCTAGACATGCAGAGCTCAGGATTTGATGCACTACTACATGAGATCCAGGAGATCCAGGAAACCCAAGCAAGACTCGAGGAATCCTTTGAGTCGCTCAAGGAACACTATCAGAGGGACTATTCCTTAATCATGCAGGCCTTACAGGAGGAGCGATATAGATGTGAACGATTAGAGGAACAACTAAATGACCTAACAGAGCTCCACCAGAATGAAATCTTGAACTTGAAGCAGGAATTGGCCAGCATGGAGGAGAAAATCGCTTATCAGTCCTATGAACGAGCCCGGGACATCCAGGAGGCCCTGGAGGCATGCCAGACTCGCATCTCCAAGATGGAGCTACAGCAGCAGCAGCAGCAGGTGGTCCAACTGGAAGGGCTGGAGAACGCCACTGCCAGGAACCTTCTGGGCAAACTCATCAACATCCTTCTTGCCGTGATGGCAGTCCTTTTAGTCTTTGTCTCCGCAGTGGCCAACTGTGTGGTTCCCCTCATGAAGACTCATAGCAGGACGTTCAGCACTTTATTCCTTGTGGTTTTCATTGCCTTTCTCTGGAAGCACTGGGATGCCCTCTTTAGCTACGTGGAACGGTTCTTTTCATCCCCCAGATGATGCTGGCACACGAAGGCAGCTGCTCACCTAGCTCTGGTGAGTGCAGGCAGCAAAGAACAAGACAACTTAACCTACTCTGAGGTTTTCTACAACAGCAAAAGAGTTAAGTGAATCTGTTTACATTTAGAATAATGTTTTTTTCTTCAAGAGACACAATTGCAATAGTATTTTTTAGATTTTATCCAAGAACTTTTTTGGGCGAAAATCTTGGATCATTTTTATGTAGCATGATTTTCCTTGGGATGCAAATCTTAAACAGTCCTTTAACATGAACAACCAATCTGGAGCACTGAAGGGCACTCTAAATTGTGACTTGAATGACTGCACTCAAAACCCACTGAAAATTGAGAAACGTGAATAGGGCAGAGCACTGAAACCGAGCATCCTGCCGTGTCGGCCTCACCACATCGCCCCTTCCGAAACGAACTGTACTGTGAAGTCCTACCACATTTCATATCTGAATTGTTGGATTCAGGGTGGATTTTCCTTGTCCGTGGAAGAAAACATGGATCTCCCAACTCACCCAAGTTGACCCCTCATGCTAATAACCTTGGAAGTCTGGTCACTTTTGAACCTGATCCTTTAACCTTTGCTAGGTCACAGAAGTGAGAGCATCGTGCCCCCACAGGATCACTGCACAGTCCTACCACAGTATTTTGAAGTAGCCCTTTAAATACTTAATTTTATGCAAAATCCTTTGGCCGCACTTTTAAGGTTTGGTTTTGTTTTTAATATGTGTATAGTCACCAATTTAACAACAAAAAATCTGAACAGCATACTTGAAGAATGTAATTACTCAAACTCTCAGTGCGTCCTTATGGTTTCTAATAGGATTTTTTATTATTGTTATTATTATTATTGGGGTCTTTTTTTTTTTTTTTGAAAGGGTTGGGAGGGTCTTTTATTTTTCCTTTGAAATAAAGAAGTGATGTTTTTAAATGAAAAAAAAAAAAAAAGGAACCTAGATCCAGAAGACGAGGAGGAAGGTAGAATCTCCACTGAGTAGTATCCAGTCTATCTAGGCAGGGCTGATGAAAGGAAATACAGATAGGTCTCTTGTGATACAATAGTGAATAATTATTACCAGGACTGATTGTGAGGGGACATTTTGTAGCAAGGAAGGGAGTGATTAACTTTGCAGTCTAGGAGCGGAGGTCCCTGAGAACATCAAGGGAGAAGAGCAGAGAGCAGGACCCTACCCAGAGAAACAGTGACGCCAGAGATGGAGGCAGAGACGATGATGTGAAGAGATGGAGAAGCTGGGGACTTTAGACACAGAGAGGGAGAAGGTCTGTTTGCTGGGGGCAGGCTTGCAGGGTATACCCTCTTGTTGGTTGATGATGCATGGAGGGGATTAGAACCATGGCAATGAAACGATATACGTTAGGATGACTGTAAAACTAATGTTTTTCCATGTAAACTATCACATAAATCACAATAAAACATTAAAAAAAAAAAAAAAAAAAACCACCAGGCCAAGGTGTCTCTAGGCAGGAATTTCAAAGAAAGGGTCATTTCTTACCAAAACTTCCAAGTATTTAGCTGTTTCAGTACCCTGGAATCATAAATAAATAGTGAACTGAGATTAATAATTAGACAAGTGGCAAACTATATATCAACCTTCACACTATTCAATGAATTTAAACCAGTGACTTCATTGAGTCACAGAGACCTAAGTGAGCTCTGCCTGTTCATTTTCTCCATTTGATTTCACTGCTATTCCATGATGGAAACTTCCCATGGATCCCTATTTCTTCTCACATCCGATCCACCATTTGAAGTTGTCCCTTAAGGCCCTTTTTGGTTCACCTCAAACCAGATGGCATCTGCTTGCAATCTGTTGTTGTTGAGTGCTTTCAAAGTGATTCCAACCCATGGCAACTCTGTATAGGGTTTCCAAGGAGCATCTGGTGAGCTTGAACTGCCAATCTTGCAGTTCAAACAGCTTTGCAATCTGGCACATTAACCCACAGCACCACACTAGGACTCCACATTTGCAATCTAAGCAATCTAAAATCCAGCTTCACAGCTTCTTGACTGGCCAAGGGGGCAAGTAAGGGCCAAAACACACCCATTTCATAGCCAAGTGCTCCCCATGGGTTGTGTGTGCAAGAGGAAAAAACATCAGTTTTTGATGCATAATAGTTTCTCTGGACTATCGACAGCCCTGTCCCCATTCCAAGGTTTCGTGTTTCCCTTGTCTCCCAAACCATTTCACATCTTATAGCTCAAAGGTCTTCACATCTCATTTCTCCTGACATTACACAGAAAACAAACTTTTATACATAATCCCACATATACCATGGCAAAGACTTTCCACCATATTAATTTTCCACTAAAACTTATGCCATCTTTTAAAGTTTTCTACATCTTCTTTTTATGTAAGATTATTCACTAAGCAAGGATAAGACTTGTCTTTTCTTCCTTAAAAAAAAAAAAAAAAAATTCTCAAGTATCCACTGGTTTTCACACCTATTATAGTTTATAGTTGTAGGATAAGCACTGGACTGCAAACAACAAGATTTGCTGCTGAAGCTCACCAATTAAGCAAATGAAAAATGAAACTTCTTGCCCCCATAAAGATTTACAACCATAGAAACCCTATATTAGGGTGGCAATGAGTAGGAAAGAACTCTATGGTGCTCAACTACAAAATTCAAGGAGTTCCCAACAGTTAATGTGCTTGGATGCTAACTGAAAGGGTGGAGGTTCAAGTTCACTCAGATCTCCCTCAAAAGAAAGTCCTGGAGATCTACTTTGGAAGCATCAGACATTGAAACCGCTATGGAGCACAATTCCACTCTGACACACATGAGGTAGAGTCAACTGGTAGCAACCGTTGTGTTATTTTTATATAGATTTCAAGAGAAAGCAAGGAATTAAAAAGACAGGTTTACTGGTCAGTAAGAGAGTTGAAGAACCTAAGACTATGAAACTTGACTACTCTTCAGGTCTGGAAAAGAACTCACCCTTGTGACCTAATATTCAGCCAAGCCGTAGATAGGTATATGGGTGGAGCAACAATACTCGTTAGGTATGCTCACCAGGCAATGGACAACCATTCAAAATCAAAAGGGCAACATTTAACTAAGGACAAAGCTGAGAAGGAATGGGAAGGTGGATGGCATGGACAAAGGAACCGAACCACGGGGAGGAAGCAGAATAATTGATGTTTCATAGAAAGGATTGCAATCATTTAGATAAAACTAAATGCATGATTTGTTGAATGTAAAATTAGTTATCTTGTCTGTAAAACTTCACTCAATTCACAATAAAAAGTTTAAAGAAAGGGGGGGGGAAGGGATTTAGTTAATCATGTCTGAGGATGATGAAACAAGTTACTATCAACTTCCTTCACAACCCATTCTTCCTTTCTCCACTTCATGGTATGTGTCTCCAATCACTGCCTCAAGAACTTTTAATTTTTTAATCTTAAGTGTCGCTCTGGGAAAGTAAATTTCTAAATGTTTCCATGGTGGTTTATACCTTTCATTTTCTAATTTTCCTATGATTCCCATCTGTAGCTCCGTCCCTCAAGGCCCATTTCCATTCACCTGCCCTATCAAGTTTAATATTTTTCTGAGTACATTTTCTTAAATCCACATGAGACCCATTAAGACATCTCAAATACAGACTTAGCATCAGGCTAGCTAAGGGCAGTAAAGCTGACCCTTGGAGCAAAGAAAGAGATCCTAGAAGTCATCTTTATCCAACCTCCTCATTTTCTTCAAGGAGCCCATGGAAAGTGACTTGCCCAAGGTACCTGTGTCACAACTCAGTTCTCCTAGTTGCCAAGTCAATTCTCCACCAACACGCTCTGCTGTCTCCCATGACACACGCTATTTGCAATAAGACAGAAGAGGCCAGGGAGAAATGAAATTGAGTTTTTCAGATCTTCATCACCAAAAACAGTCTTCTGGCTGATGAAGGCAGTGATCTTAGTAGTGCCCTGTGCCATGCTAAGTGTGAGGTCAGAAAACTATAGCCTAAGGGCCAAATCCTGCGTTACACCTGTTTTTGTAAGTAAGGTATTATGGGAACATAGGCATGCCCATTTATTGACAAATATTCTGCGGCTGCTTTTGCTACAACAGAGAGGTGAGTAGTTATGACTGAGACACATGTCTCGCAAAGCCAAAAATATTACTATCTGGACTTACAGAAAGTTTGCTGATCCCCATTGTAGATGATAAGTGATGAAGGAGCACATGGAAAGTGACTTGCCCAAGGTACAAGTGTCACAACTCAAGTCTCCTAGTTGCCAAGTTAATTCGCCACCCAACATGCTCTACTGTCTTCCATGACACATACTATTTGCAACAAGACATACAAGGCCAGGGGAAAAGTGAAATTGAGTTTTGCAGATCTCTACCACCAAAAACATAGTCTCCTGGAAAATAAAGGCAGTGCTGTTACTAGTATCTTGCACCATGCTATGTGAGAGTTCCGCAAACTACAACCCAAGGGCCAAATCTCGCTTTACTCCTGCTTTTGTAAATAAGGTGTTATCAGCATTGTTGTTGTTGTTGTTGTTAAGTGCCATCGAGTCAGGTCCGACCCATAGCGACCCTGTAACAGGGTTTCTGAGGGTGTAAATCTTTACAGGAGTAGAAAGCCTCATCTTTCTCCCGCGGAGCGGCTGGTAGTTTCGAACTGCTGACCTTAAGGTTTGCAGCCCGATTCGTAACCACTACTCTACCAGAGCTGAAATGGATTGGTATCGGACATTATGAATCTGACAATCATATGTTGTACTATACCAAGAATGACAAATTGAAGGGGGGAAAAATGGCATCACATTCGTCATCAAAAAGAACATTGCAAGACCTATCTTGAAGTGTAATTCTGTCTGTTATAGGATAATCCCTATGCCAACAAGGAAACCCATTTAATACCAGTATTATTCAAATTTACACACCAACTACTAAAGTCAATGATGATAAAATTGAAGAATTCTAATGACTTCTTCAGTCTGAAATTGAGCAAACACACAATCAAGATGATTTGTTAATTACTGGCAATAGGAATGCAGAGGTTGGAAACAAAGAGGAAGGGTCAGTAGTTGGACAACATGCTCTTGGTGATAGAAATTATCCTGGAGATCAAAAATAGAACTTTGCAACACCCATGACTTATTCATTGCAAATACCTTTTTTATACAATATGAAAGGTGACTATGCACATGGACCTCACAAGATGAAATGCACAGGAATCAAATTGACTACATCAGTGGGAAGAGATGGTGGAAATGCTTAGTAACATCAGTCAAAACAAGGCCAGGAGTCAACTGAAGAACAGACCATCAATCATGCATATGCACATTCAGGCTGAAGCTGAAGAAAATTAAAACAAGTCCACAGGGTCAAAATAAGACCTTGGACATATCCCACCTGAATTTAGAGACCATCTCAAAACAAATTTGATATATTAGGAACTAATGACAGAAGACCAGAGGAGACAGCAAAAGGTCTGTAGAAAGATAGGAAACAAAGAAAAGACAAACATGAATGCCAGAAAAGACTGAAATGTGCTCTGTACTATAAAGATGCTAAAATGAATGGCAGAAATAAAGTAAAAAGGCTGAACAGAAAATTTCAAGAGCAACTTGAGGAAACAAAGTCAAGTATTATAATGAAATGTACAAAGACCTGGAGTTAGAAATTCAAAAGGGAAGAATATGCTCAACATTGAAGCATCAACTTGTAATATTGAAAGATTCTATGATCAAAATATTGAATGATGCCGAAAGCATCTGAATGGGTGTTGTGGAG